TTAGTTTGTCTCATTAGACTGTTTTGCTGGGGGATGGAGCTAGGAGGTAGAAGCAGAAAATCATCTCCAAATTTCTAAAATTATTAGTAAACTAAGCATGTTTGGAACAATTGGACAGTGTACCTTGGGATGAATAGATTAAACTAGAGCATTTTCATTATCACTCTGGCAGTCACCCCTTTATCTCATCTTGTGATGAACATCTGTATTTTTTGGCACATTGTTAGGGTATAAATGCAGAGTGTAGCTGAACAAACTCTCTATTATAGTTCTGCTCAAATGAGATTTCAAGATTATGTTTTCTACTTTGTGGATGATATTTACTGTTATGGTAGCAACTGTGTGCAAAAAAAAAATCTAATGCATTTAATATTCAGTTCTGGATTCATGTATCAATTATTTAGCTAAACCTTCTGTTAGCAGGGTATTTTTTATAAAACATGTACCAAATGTTTATAAAAATGGAAAGAGATTCATCAAGTTACAGTAGCTAAAGCTGTGCTAAAAAGAAAAAATGAACAAACATATGTTACCAGCAGAGTTTCTCATCTTTGATGAGTAAAACCATATTCTATTTTGCTGCAATTGTCTTTCTGGTGCAAATAAAGGCCCTGATCCAATAAATATTTGTAAGTGTGATTTTGGTTTACGCTACTTAATCTACTTCTGTCTTTAAGACACCCTTCCCTTTGAGAGGTCCTGGAGGCAATGGGAGACTGGTCTTTAAGCATTTACTTTAGTTTTGGCTCATCAGGAGTCCACAGGGTTCCTATGTCTGGAGCTCAGCATGTGCAGCAGTATTGCAGAACAAGAGCCAAAAGCAGGAAGAAAGAGCCTGATTTTTTTTTTTTTCTAAAAAAAAGTTGACTTGTTTTTCCCCCTCCCAGTGAGTGAATCATTTAGTGTTGGTCTGTGGCTCTGTCTGCGGCTCTGGCACTGTTCCCACGGCTGTTACAGCCCCTATTCCACTTGGGAGAGTTTTCAGGAAATTGTGTTGTCATGGATCCTTCTGCTCAGCTCCAATCTGCTCCGTGCCCAAAACCCCCTGTGCAGCAGAGTAAGAAATCCTCAGTGAGCTGAAGCTGCATGAGGCACGAAAGGCTGTAACTTCTGTGCAACATCCCACAGTGCTACCCTAATTATTCCACTGGATCATCTTAAATAAGGTTTAACAAAAAAAGAAAAAAAAAATAGAAGCAAATCCAACAACTGAAGCACAAGAATATAGGGACTCAGCTCTCCTAAACTGGTCTTTCTAAATGTCCGTAGTTCTTTGTCATAATCTAGACTGTCTAGACTTTCCAAGTTAGAAACAGGCATGTTTTCCTTCAAGGCTGAACAATATAATTCAGCCAGGGTTGGTTTTGTGGTTTGGTTTTTTTCCCCTGTTTGTTTACTTTACTTAGCTAGAGCTCTTTTGAGGAGGGCAGGCACCCATCAGAAAGTAACAAGGCTGCAGTTAGCAACAAAGAGGCTGATGAGTTGTGCTGTGACTAGGATCACTGCTGCAGCTGCTCCCTTCCTACGTGCATTGACCGATTTCATGTGGCTCACGTTCCGCCTATGGAAAGGACAGATAAACAGGCAGGAAAAGGTAATCGACTTCAGAGATGAAGCTGTCAGTGGGCTGCCTCAGTCTGGAGGCAGTGTGAATTGCCTTATTCTGCATAGAAAGTTGAAAAGTCATCTTAGCCATAGGTAGGTGAACCCTGTTTCAGAGAGTTCTTCAGCAATGACTATAAAAGGGTCAGTGTGCCAGCCTAAGGGATTTTAACAATGTGAATTTTCTAATTCTTTTACCAACACAGATAAAACAGTAAGTAGTCAATATTTTTCACTAGGCTTCTGTTAGAGGATTTTTAGAAATACATAAAAACAACCTCTGAATAAATATTAAGTAGAATCAACACTAGATAGCAACAGCAGCAACAACTAAACTGCTTTGCAGCAACATTTAATGCTTTTGAAATGGTTGTTCATTGCTTACAGCTGATAAATATGCTTCAGAGATGAATACATGTTTGCCAGAGAATCTGCTGTTGAGGCACCCTGGGACTGGTCCTCAGGTTGGCCCTTGCCTGGAGGAAACCTCATCCAGTGACACCCTGCCAGCTTGCTGGGGAGAGCAGCCTTGCTGCCTTTGCCACTGGTACAGGAGCGCTGAGCACTGTGAAGACTGTTCAGCAGACCAGCTCCAAGCCTCTTGCTATGGGAAGGGAACTGTATAATCTGGTGTTTGCCCACTGTCCTGAAACCATGCTTAAAAGCAGATGAAATGTGAAGAAGATGAAGAATTTTTCATAGCCAATACTAATGCAGTTACTAGGTCTGAAGACAAGCATAAAGAAATAAATAAAAACCTGCTTGCTGTTACCTGAACTTCAGTTCTACTCTGGGAGCTTTCCATCAGCTGTGTAAGCAGAAATAAGCTCTTAGGATGTTTGTATAATTTTGTGGTTGGGAGCCAAGGCTTATAACCAGGCTACTTTTCTCTGAAGAGGAACTTTATGTGGGGCTGTGTTTTTCCAGCCTTTCAACTCACTTCTGCTCCGATTTAAATTTTTTCCTGCTAAATAGTCAGACAAAGAGTCAGAACTACTCATCCTGCCTGGACAAACCTTTTATTTTGTCAGCTGATGTTACTACTTTGAAGTGGCAAGACCACTCTTCTGTCCAGAGAGTAAAGAAGGGTTGTATGTGACTATCAGCTAGATCACATGAAACAAACTCTGAGGAAAGTATTTTCTTCTACCTGTCAGGACAATGTTTGTCTCTCTGCATAATCCTTTATATCCTGTACATGGAGTTTATATAAATAAATTATTTGAGTCATGCATTACAGTTTTGACTATATGCTTATATACACATTCATCAGTTTTACCTTTTACTCAAGACTAGACATAATAGTAATCCAAATATTTTGGCATGGATTTGAGAAATGCTCTACCAGTTGCGAAGTTTAGGGCTTTTTTTTCTTCCTATCGGTTTTCCATTGCATATTTGAAGTGTTTGGAGTTTTTACCCAACCCATTTAAGTGTATATTTAAGTAAACAAGTAGATTTGCATGTATAAAAAGATACATTTTAAATTTCCCTTTTGATGAGCGAAAGAGAAATCTTTCTATGCAGCAGATGCATAACAGATGCTACTCCTAGCACATGCTGCACTACTGGACGATGGCCAGATGCAGTGGTGATAGCATAGCTATTACCGTGATAGAGCAGAATAAAAAGAGAGATGTAAGTAACATGCTAGCTTCCTAACCCACTGCCTTGTCCACATAAATGCAAAGGAGGAGAAAATTCTGAAGTCTGTGAGCAGGTTACATAATATACAGTCCCCACAACGACCCCTTTTTAAAAATAGCAGACTAGTGCATGTTTGAATATATTAAATACTGTGAAGTCCAATCCTTCTAGACCACATCAGGGCACTGAAAATATGAAATACAGTTCACAAAAGCCACTTCTTTCCATCTCCATATCCTAGAACGACTTTGCCAAGAACGCACGACTCCAGACACCTACTGAAATCAGTATGGAGGGAAAGGGGAATTCATCTCACCTAACCTTAGCCATCAAGAAGCTGAACACCTGGGTGAAGGCAGTTGTCTGGACTCTCTTCATAGTTAATAAAAATAAAGGCATTGCTAGAAGGCATTTGTCCATCTCATCTTAGTTTGGCCTAAGCAAGATGAGTCCCACACACAGTGTTTGTGGTCATCTAATTGGTGTTAATGCACAGATATAAAACTCACCTCTTGACTTCAACTGTTGAGTTTCACCTTTTGAATTTAAGGTTGAGTCAGCCACTAAATCTTGACAGATGCTCTCTGTGATCCCCACCACCACCTTCCCAGGGGAGGATAATAAAAGAAGCAGGGAGAGAGACTTCGAGGCTGAAAAAAACCGAAGGAAGGCAACTTGAACCAGTTTAATGAAAAAAAGAGAATAGTAAGAGAATAATACTAATAGTGAAGATGTCAGACTGTATACATATATATACAAGTATACAAATATGCTCAAAGATACAAGAGAATACATTAATACATGACCCACACCTTCCAGATGGCAACAAGATCCTGACCAGAAAAAAAAAAAGTCCCAATCCCAGACTGTATTCAGCAGCAGACAGGAACACCCAAATCCAGAGTCCCAGTGATAGTCCAAAAAAAACAGAAAAGAAGCTGTGCTGCTCCCACTCAGGGCTGGGGAAGACAACCTGTTCTCTCAAACAAGGCTCTTCTGCAGCGTGAAAGCACAGGGAAAAATCACAGAGAGATACCAGCCATCCTCCCAGCACAACAGGTGCTAAAGACCTAAGGGCTCTTCTTAGGGGCCCTTTTATACTGAGCACCATGGGAAGGAACACTGTGATTGGTCCATTTGGGTCACCTGACCCATCCTCTCCTCCCCATGGGCACAGCTGCCCCTCCTCCCCCACTGTGACTGTCCCCAGTGCTAGCAAGCCCCAGAGAACTTTTATCTTGGTGCTCTCAAATCAGGACAACCTCTCATCAGTTTGTTTGGAAAGTTAATCTGAGAAAACGGATACTTTTTGAACAGTGGAGAAGACCTTTCCTGTCGGAAAAAAACACATTTTCATTTTAGAAGGTAGGAAGATATTTTTGAGACAAGTCACTAAATAGAAGGTAGGGGAAGAGCCTTTTGGTGGCATTTGTCCCTCTGGGCACACCCTGCGTTGGAAAGCACAGGAAATGAACAGTTCCTGCAAGTGAGGCTTGCTGGGTATAAATATCCCTTGTGCTCCAGTACGAATTTGCTTTACTTCACTAATCCCAACACAAATCTCACCTGCAACTGAGAGCTGTCTTAAAAAAGGAGAGGCAACGTCCCTTAAACATTAATCATTTTCACATGCAGAAAATGTGACTGCTTTGTGCATGATTGCATTTTAAAACCGAAATCATTGCGCAGAATGGATTCAGTATGAACCTTCTAAAATAAATGAATCTTAATTTGTTTTCTATTTTTTAAAGGTCAAATGCTGCAAATACTGGCCAGATGACACAGAGATATATAAAGACATTAAAGTTACTCTAATAGAAACAGAGCTCCTGGCTGAATATGTGATTCGAACATTTGCAGTAGAAAAGGTAAGTTTCCAAATTCATTTTTCTTAAATACAGTGGTATCTGCCTAAGTAAGTTATATACAGATTCAACGTGGGAAAGTTGAATCTTTTGGCTGACATCGTGGTTTTGTAGCTATTTTTTGGGGGTAAACGACTACCGCCCTCTTATGGTAAACTGTGTTTTTCTTTAAATGCGGCAACTTCTCTGCTTACCATCACTGTTGGCCCCTGCCTGAGCTAGAAAAAGTGATGTTCCTTGCCTAGGAGAAATCGAAGCCTCCCTCCCAGCGATCAATGGAAAAACACATTCGTGCTGATTTCCCATCTTATGTTCTCCACAATCATTTTCTGTCTGTACCAGGGGCTGCATGCACCATTATTCGGAAGTTCATGGTGGAGAATACAGTTACTTCTTGTGATGGTGTGTTCCTGGTCTTCAGAGACATAGTCGAAACAATTTTCTTCTCAAGGCAATTCCATTTTTTCTGTGGAATCCATCTTTATACGGAGAGTTCCAAGTAGTGTGTTGTATTACAGCTTGTTAGAATAATGCCATGAATTTGTTTGGTGCTTACGAGGTCTTGTAGCTCTCCCAAGCAGTTTACCCTATATGGGCAATACATACAATTAGCAAATAAGGTACTTGGTGAAAGTGAGAACAAGCCGAGTCAGTCAATGCTGAAGCGTGTCATGCATTTTGTGTCAGTTCGGGGTTTTTATTCAGACTTCATTAAAGGACAGGAGTGCTTTAATTGTATGTATCAAGACTTGTTTGAGTTGCAGAACAAGGAAAGGGCCTCTTTGGAAGACTTGGTATTCTTAATGGTGCACTGAAGTGATGCTTTCTCAGTATCACCATGAGCAGATTTTCAACTAATTAGCTTAGAAAACTCCTTCTGATTTAGTTGCAGTACCTGTGATATACTGGTTCTTTTAAATGATGAAATAGCATTCAGTTATGGTTTTGAAGAACATAATCTTTAGCATCAAAGAATCCTGCACCCAGGTAGATGAAACTGCCAGCAAGACAACCCAACAGGATCTCTGTACATACATCCAAATAACAAAGGAATTAGATTTTTTTTTCCTGTTTTATTCTTCAATCTAATACTTAAATATTCATCAACACAGCAACCTGAGGGTAATGATAATAGAATTATGTGGTTTGAATGAACTGAAATATTGTATCCTGTTTACCACTATACATATTGTACATCAAATTCATTCAAGCCTCTTGTTTCCTGGCATTTAGGTATTTTTAATAAACAGATGAGAAACGGTGGCTACACTTTGAAGTAGATGAAGCACTGGTTGATTTCTATTCTGCAAATTTTAAGCCCATGCTTTGATGTTAGCTTTTCACTTCTTAACTGGGACTGGAAAAAAAGACCTAGAGGATTTTACAGTTGAACATAACCAAACTGTCTTGAATAAGTGCATTAGAACAGATAGAGATAAAAGGCACTAAACATTTTATGTCTTAAAAAAATCTCCATCTGAAAATATTCCATTTAGACACTGCTTTTTAATAGTTGGTAGTTTTTCAGTAAGCCTCTAAAAGCAGTGACAGTGTAGTTTGAATAAAGTGCATTTGTTTTTACCCTATTTTCCATATTTTTTAACTCCTCCAATGGTACTGGAAGGTCAAACTTGTACATCTCTTCCACCGTAATTCTCTCAAGTTTATATTTCTGATCTACTGGGACTGATAAAATAGGCTGCATGATGAGACAGAGTGGTGTGCCCTCTGCAGGTAGTATTAAGTGAAAGATGGTGTTGAAATGCAGAACGTTGGTGCCGCAGTTCCAAAGGACTTGAAGATTTGGCCAACAGAAACTTTAGTAACTCAAGGAAAAATGCAAAGTTCGTCACTTTAAGTGGACTAACCCCATGTGTCAGTACAGTCTGTGACATCCTGGGACAACATCTGTCATCCAGGATGATTAAGGATGTAGGATATATGAGCTAGAAGGGGAAGTTAAGAGAACTGGCCTTGTTCAGCATAGTATACATGAGGAGGAGGAGAAGGAGGGGTAAGGAAGATTTGATTGCAGCCTGCAGCTGCTTCAGAGATGTTTAGAAAATCAGGGGCACCAAATTCTCCTCATTCTTCTCAATGGTAACAGATGACAAGACCAGGAGCAATGGCTGAGAAGTTGCAGCCTGGAAGGTTTGCACTGGAAAAACTCTCAGGAGGAGGTTAGTGCAATGCTGGGGCAGATTACCCTGTAAAGTTGTGCAGTATCCATTCCTGGATGTCATCAGGGCCCAGTTAGACAGATCTGGTGTTGGCCATAGATCTACTCTTGAGTGGGAGGTTGGACTGGAGACCTGCAGAGGTCCCTTCTGACTGTCTTTCCTATTTGTGGATTAGCATCTCGTACCTGCTCCTAAAAGACAAATTAGAAGTTGATTTGTTTGGAGATGTCCATCACTTATGTTTATTCTTTTAAATAGTTATCTGGTAGCTATTGAGAAGTAAGGGGTAATGCTAAGAAAATTGAACCCCAAAGAAGAAGGACCGTTTCCTAGATAGGCTTTACATTGTATGCATAAGCAGTTTCTTTGGAGCAGTTTCTTTACAGCACAACAGTTAACTCAGATGAATTAGATAGTAACATACAGCAGCACCATAAGTATTTGTAGTATATTTTATCATCCTAGGGTTGTTCACAATGTGCATTATTTTCTGTTTTTTCAGCTGAAAGAAAAAGTGAAAAATACAGTCTTTCCAAGCTGAGCATATGCTTTTATGATTCATGCAGTTGTGTTGCTATTTTGAGTTTAGAAACCAGCAGGGAAGCTACAGACATGAAAATCATTCTTTTGTGGATATAATAAGCAAACTCATTATAAAAGTACCCTACGTGCAAAACCTTTTCCAAGTAGCTGTCACCAACAATAGACAAAAATGCAGTCAGCATGACAGACAGATCCCCAAAACTAATGCAGAAGATACACAGAGTATATCCTGATCTGCACTACAGCTGAGCACATTATTTTGGAGGAGCAGTTTAGCTTTTTGTAAATTGGTTGAAAAACTAAGGCTGCGTACAGCATGAAGAATTTGTGTGGGGTACTCGTTTCAGTCCTCAGTTTGCATAGTCATGGCATTGCTCTTTTGTATGGAATCTTTGTTTCTTTGCTGATTGTGGGCAGTTGTTATGAGCAATATAAAAGTGTTTGGGACATGGATACTCCACCTACACACAGCTATTTACAGATTTGGAGTCCTTGCTTACAGTAGCAGAACTCTAAAATAGTAGCACACTCTAAAATCTCCAGAGTACAGAGACCAAATTGTATTTGAATGTGTTTGCTAGATTGTCTTAAAATGCAAATTACTTTGTTCCTGGGTTTCAGTACGTTTTAAAATCGAGTCTTAGGTTATGAGGTCATTTCTCTTGCAAGGGTGTGACCTCCTCAGTCTACACCAGTGTCACATATGCTCTTCATCTTCTCCCTTGCCTGCCTTTTTATGTTGCAGTGTCTGAGGGAGATGAGTGTGGATGTTCCTCTGAGCAGATGCTCAGTCTCCACAGACCCTCAGCCTGAGCTGTCAGAGCATCAGGACTCCAAGACACACCAAGCCCACTCCAGTCATCTTGTGCTGGCGTAGCCAAAATTTCTCAAGCATTGAAAATGCCAGACTCTTAGCTTGCATGCTAGCAATAAATTAGGAAGTTTGTATTACTTCATTATACAAAGATAAATAGATCTTTTATATGCAAACCAGCTCAAGAGAGGAAATACATCTTCAAGAAGAAAAACTGTAAACCACCAGTTATTAATATTACTGGCATTTAGTCCAGCCTAGACATGATATGTCATAATTTTGCTGTTTGCTTATGAAATATGTATGATGGCCTCTGGTCTGTGGATTTCTAATGAGAATAAAATACTGGCAGCTACATTTTTAGAGGGGGAAGAGGAAATGTAAGCACTAAGGAAATCAAACTTAGCATATACGCCTCTAATATCCAGACTGCTCCAGAGAGTCACATGGGAAATTACTTACACGATCGGCTTCTCATTCATACCTGTCTCACCATATCCATGTCGTCATACACTGCAGCAAATCACTTAAAGGGTGAGCATGTGGAGGGCTACAAATGCAGGTCCTACAATTAGAGGTGCAAAAAGGTTTCTTACTATTCAGCTGTTTCTTTCAGACCAATGAAGGAGACAAATTATAAGGAAAATTATGCTGATGTTTTAGTTCCCAGAAGTCAGCAGCAAAACACCTATGGAGACCAGTGGAGGAAAAGAAATGTCGTCTGTGCTGTATGTTCATGGCCTTGCGGCTGACCTGTTCTGTGATCATGGCATGCATCTTAAGGCCAGAGTTTTCAAAGCAACCTAATGCTTAAATAGAGATGAACATCTGTCTTGTTGCTAAAACTTTCTAACCGATCTGGTGCTAAATTACTCAATTTTGTTCTAAGGCTTTGAAACCAGTTGATACGTAACCTTTGAACTTGCTCTCCTGCTATGAGTGAGCTCTCCAACAGCCTGTTCAGGTTGTATTGGCAGGGGGTAGATGCTTTTCAGCAAGGCTCAGGCTTTTGAAGTTACATTTTTACAAAGTCTCTCATCCAGTTTCTTTCATATTCCAGCTTGTTTTTTCTTTCTCAACCATTGTCTTTTCAATAGAGAGCTGCTCATGAGATTCGAGAAATTCGGCAGTTTCACTTCACTGGCTGGCCAGACCACGGTGTCCCGTACCATGCGACAGGCCTGCTGGGGTTTGTACGGCAGGTCAAATCCAAGAGCCCACCAAACGCTGGCCCTCTGGTTGTTCACTGCAGGTAGGTAGAATAGAAACCCCTCTGCTGTGTTGTCCACTAAACTCAGGACCTCTTTTTGCATCTCCTGTAATGTGTGATCCTCACACGTGTTGCTGAAGCCACGGGAGTTCTACCCTCAATAACTTAATGCCTAAAATACAAACACAAATGGAAAAAATTAGTTTGAAATCCTGCACACTCCAGAATGCAAGGGTCAATGTCAGTAATCATCCCACTGATCAAGTACCCTTGCACTTTGCATTTTCCAGTACACTAATGAACATTAATTGTGCTCTTCTTTTACTTCAGTGCTGGTGCTGGCAGAACTGGATGCTTCATTGTTATTGACATCATGCTAGATATGGCAGAAAGAGAAGGTGTTGTAGACATATACAATTGCGTGAGAGAGCTTCGTTCTCGGAGAGTTAACATGGTGCAGACCGAGGTATTGTTAATCTACTAGAATACTGCCTTATGATTTTCAAGAGAAAATATTCTTCTAGCCCATAAAACTAGAGCCCCTTGGTGACTGGCACCATCCAGAAAATAGTTCGTTCAATCATATGCAGAAAATAATCCACACGCAAACCTGAGGAACCACTGCCCAAGGAAGTGCACAGTTATGCTGCACTTAGGGTTCACAATGTTTTTTTTAAAAAAAGGAAGATCATGAGTGTTTCTTCTGAGGGGAGAATTCATTCTGAGCACATCTTGTTGAGACTCACATGATACCACCTACAGAAGCGTGCAGAGGAATGAGGAAACCAGTTGTATTATGGAATCTTACTGCATTTCTTGTGCACTTTGTACTTGTAATTAGTTTGAGTCAATCCTTCTGTATTAATTTCTAAATGAATGGGATAAAGCTTTATGAACTGCTATTGTTCTTCTGGTCTTGCTTCAGTGCTGGTAAAGCCAGAGAGAATTAGTGACAACCGTATTTATTGCTATTTTATATTTACCAGAATACTAATAGCATATGGTCTCTATGTCAGTAATTGTTTTACTTGCTTTACCAGGAACAGTATGTATTCATCCATGATGCTATTCTGGAAGCCTGTCTTTGTGGGGACACATCTATTCCAGCTTCTCAAGTTAGGTCTGTTTACTATGAAATGAATAAACTGGATCCTCAAACTAATTCCAGCCAGATCAAAGAGGAATTTAGGGTAAGTTGTGGCTAGGATTACCTACAAGCCGTACAGTTCAGCTATACTGAAGACTTCTGCTAAAGTGCTTGTTTGTAACTGTGTGAATTTTGGACCAGGCCTGGGCAGCAACGACTGCAAAAAAGGGAAGATAAGATGATATAATTGCTGTTGAGTGGTGCAAAATCATAAAAGAATTCAATGGGGTACTAGTAAAATCTTTTTACTCAAAGGAACTATTTTGATTCCTTCCACTGTCCTTTCTCCAGAAAGCAGATTATCCTGCAGCTGTCTTTGAGGTTATTTTTCAGATCTGTATGCTTCCAGGATTTTTTGCTTCTAAACCCTGCTGACTGTGATGTGTTTTCATTTCTCTGCATATTGATTTCCACTGAAACTGAATCCTAAGCTGATCTATTCTTAAATATTTGGGGATGCTTTCACTGCTGTGTTAATTTTTCTGTTGTATTGTTTACTCTTTTTGAAAGACTTTAAATATGGTGACTCCGACACTGCGTGTAGAAGACTGCAGCATAGCACTTTTACCACGAAATCATGAAAAGAATCGCTGTATGGATGTTCTGCCTCCAGACAGATGCCTGCCTTTCCTCATAACGATAGATGGGGAGAGCAGTAACTACATTAATGCTGCACTGATGGATGTAAGTCTCCACTACATCATTAATAATAAAAAGGGAATAAGAAGCCCTCTAACCTGAGCAATGCCAGAAAGTGGAGTCAGCATAAGACTGAAATTCTTCTAGATTCTTTTCCAAAAACATGTCACAAAATCTTTAAACTCCGGAGTACATTTAGGATCCCACATATGTTATGTCACAGACAAGGTTCCAAAGCCGTGCTCAGAGAACAGTTCAGGGGGTTTTGAGAAATTAAATGTGTCTGGATTTCTCCCTAGTGCTTGAATTTGTAACCATCTGGTCTAGGAAAAAAAAAAAAGTTACCTATTAAGACACTAAGGCAGTTAAATAGGATAATAAGGTTTACAGCAATATTTCAGTTCCCTTTGTTTCTAATTTAAACAGTAATTAACAAAAAAAAATATTGTCTGTCAGCACAAGATAGTACACAAGCCATTACTCCAGTCTCTCTGCTTATTTCTGTTTGAATCAATGGTTCCTCTTCATGTATGCCTGGATTATTGTTTTCTAACGCATCTATGGTAATTCTAATCCTGCTAATAGTATATCAGTAAAAAGACACTTAAACCACCTTTATAGTCTGTAGATATTTATGGCCTATCTTTGACAATTTAGAGCCATGGCAATTATGGTTGTCAGACACAAAAACAAGATGAGAGCAGAGGTTAGTGAAGAATGAACATATTGTAAATGGTCTTTCTGAAAAGTGAAGCTAGAGTAATAACAGTTTATAGCAGGTTTTGCATTTCTTTCCTTCTAAGTTCTCAAAGCATTTTCCTAAAATAAGCCTAGGGTTCAAAACTCCTATGGAAAGGTAGGTGTTTTATCCTTATGTTTATCTATGTGGAGAAACTGAGAACAAAAGTTTAAGGGACTTCTCTAGGTTCTTAGAGTAGGTCAACTACATTTCAGACTAGAACAGAGCTTCCTTGACCTGCAGTTTACAACCTTGCCATGACGTTGTCTTCTTTCCTGGAGAGTTCAGTACTGTTTTGTTCTGTAAATTAAGTACTGCTCAGAAGGAGCAATGCCTCAATATTTGCTTTGAAAATTCTTCCCTTCTGCACTGTTGAAACGCTGAGCTGAATCCAGAAGTATGTCTGGGCAAAAGGCTCTGAGGGAGGAAGCGATTTGTGTTGCTTTCCACCTGAAGCGCCCTGGCCAGGCTCGCTGCACTGACAGACAAGAGCAGACATTTGTCCCTCTTTCTAAACACTTAGTCCCCAGGAGACAAGATGACACGTTTCACCCTCTGTGCTTGCATCAATTGACACACAGCCAGATCACCTCATGTAAGCCTTTAGAGCTCACTTCAAGCAAAAGGGGCAAGAAGCATAATTATTAATAATAATGTCATTATTCAGTATCAGAATGAGTTTGAGAATAGTTTCCCCTAAAAAACATTGCTGGGGCTTCTAAGTGGGGGACTAATGGAGAGCACTTCAAGCATCTCCCATCTGCCTGCAACTTCCAGAAAGACAGGACCAGTGGGATAGAAGGCAACTGACTGGTGTACCAGCGGCACCAATACCTGCTGGTTGCAGTTTGCTTAAACCAGGATGAACTGAAGGCTTGCACATCTTCATCCGTACCCCAAAACACATTGGATTCATTTTCTGTGATCTCTTCAGTGACTGTCTCCAAATGACAGAGGCAAATAGCTGATCAGATTGTATCTTTGTTGTGATACAAATACTTTGGTTCAAGGCTTCCCTGCTCTCCCTACTGAAGGCAACTGGCAGCCCCTCCCGACAATTGCCCTGGTATGGCCGTGCTGGCCGTTAACACTCCGGAGAGCATAAGTGGAAATGCTAGTATGATATCCACAATGGAACAGTTCCGCCAAACAGATCAATCAGCAGCACATTCTGGTACTAAAAAAAATACAAAGAGCACTGAAATTTATCCCCTGGGTATCCTTGCTGCTCTCAGATAGACCAGAATTTCAACAATATTTCTGAAAAATAACTAGATATTTTCTTTCAAAGCCATCATTCAAATTAACAGCTAACTGTAGACAGCTGAGATTAATCTGCCCATTAGGAGCTCAAAACAAAACTGTTAGAATTTTGCAGGAGTTGCATTGGAAGCAAAATCCTCAAATGATTTTACTCGATGCCTGTGGCATAAAATACATTTCAGAAATATAACATCTGCAGAAGTTTTATTCTGCCCAAATACAGTTTATTAACTTTGAAGCATGCAAGATCTCAGGAAAGAGCTGAAAACAATGTATTAATTATATAGAAAACAGAAGTAATGCTTTCAGTCCCAAAGTTTTGGGGCTATGACTGGCATTCTGCTAAATGGATTTTTATCTCTTTCCATTCTTCTCACCATCTCATGATTTCCTTGTAGAGCTACAAGCAACCATCAGCTTTTATAGTTACGCAGCATCCCTTGCCAAATACTGTCAAAGATTTCTGGAGATTGGTCCTAGATTATCACTGCACTTCAATAGTTATGCTGAACGACGTGGATCCAGCACAAGTAAGTCCAGAAGATTGTTCCTTTTAAAAGAGGAGGGCTTAGTGCCTCAGCATTTCAGAACAGCTCTAGGACGTAATTAGTTTTATAAAACAACATTAAATACTAACACACTAAAAATTTGATTTGTAGGTTGCAAATACACATGAGGAAAGAGGAATAAATCAGACCATCAGCAGCTTCTTCACCAAAAATGACAGTTTTAGAATTCTGACTCAAGTCTAAAACACGCTAATAATCTCCAAAATTGTAACAGAAGCCAACAGCTATTCGTTAGCCTGCCTGAAACAGGTCAATGACCTTGGTCTGCCTACCTGGGAATAGGTGTCCCCAGTGTGAAAATCCATGCTATGTTTGGCACAAAATTACATTGTTAGCAAGGAGATAGGAACTAAACAAGATTGGAGACTAAGCATCCTTCAGAATAGAAAACAGGGCGACGAGACGTATAGGGGATTGTAATTACCTTACAAAAGAGCTGTGCATGCTGTACATGTTCTTTAGAAAATTGGAAAACTGTACCTACTGGTTTGGCAATTTAATCACTAGCATTAATCACGAAGTGTCCTAGAGCCTGGCTCGTAACTGTGCAATTCCAAGTTCTTACACAGGTATTATTTCCTTGGTTCCAACAAATCGAACCAGCTGTCTGCTGGAATAACATGGTAGCAATCTGAATTCTTGATATGTAAATATTTGCTAATTATTGCTTAAGAGCAATTGTTATTTTTTGTAGCAGACTGCATGTCATTTTAATTCCTGATACTATCAAGAATTTTTTTAGCTTTGTTGAGTATTTCACACGCTTAGAAAAATGTTTCCTCTTATTATTCCTCTTATATTATTTCCTCTTATATGAAGAATTTGGTTTTAAAACATACTAATTTTCTGGTTTATCTTTCAAAGGAATGTGTAGAAGTTCCACGCACTATTTTAAAGACTGAATTTCTGATTCCAAGCCCTTAACTGTCTGCAGGGAGAAAAATAGAAATGAAAGACAAAACTTATTCATAAGTCTAAGATTATTTTCTGAGTGAATAAGGAAAGACGCGGGAGAGTCAGGCTGTTGGGGACTACTGAACAGAGTTTTTTAATTTGTGGACTGTGTTTTGAATTTACAATAGTGCATGGCTATTTCAAGCATTTATTAGCCTTACAGGCTTTTAAAAGCTATTGGGATATGCAGTTAATGCACCTGCCTCTGCAGTATGTTAAACACTTTCCCTCTAATGTGAGTACCAATCTTTTCATTAGGAATAAATCTCAAAACCCTCAGAGCAAACAGAATTGGAGAGAGTGCACAGCTTATTAAAAACACACATTACATTCAGATTTATTAATAATTACTGTTATCGTTATTATTTATGTATATATGAGTGTTTACAATTCTGTTTAGATATTACAATTTATGTGGATTGTTATGCTCTCTTGGGAAATGAAATTCAACCCTTCTCAGTGACTTTGACTGAAAGATTTGAGTTGCTGCTATCACATGCATGCAAAATGCACAGACCTAAATGCTTTTGGTTTCTTTAGAACTTGAAAATCTTGGCTTTCTAAAACAGCTCCAGCAAACAGCTCTGCTTATTATCATTTAAGCATTTTTCAAAGACCTATTAGAACAACATTCCCATGTACATGAAAGATATGTACTAAATTGTGCACATATTAAATGATTTGAGCACTGCCATGTGCATTAGTTTTGTGCGTTGTATTTTGCTGTCCTGTACACTAGCATATTTCATAATAAAAAATTGTGTAAGATTTAGACAATATTTGGAAAGTAATTTGCTCAGCAGACCAAATCATGTGGGAGATTTAAAGTAAATGAAAATGCATTTTCCTACTCAAAATTTCTGGTTTTAACTTGTATAAGTGAACTCCTGCAAATCAAACCCTGTTCTCTTTTTAATTGATGTAGTAAATGATTATGTTTTCCTAAAATGTAGTCATCTCTAAATGGCTTTGTTGAGGACTAAGTATTATAAGAAATGCAAAACAACATCTGGAGTAAATGTGATTTGTCAACTCAGCTCTGGATCACCAACAGCAGTGCAGCAGAATGAAGACCGCAGCTGTTTCACTGAATGAAATAAAGTTCCAAATATGATATGAATGCTTCTGCAAGCAAACAGAATTTCATGAGTTCATACTTAATTTTGGTGAATGCTTGCACAAGCTACGTGCTTGAACTGCTCTAAATATCTCGGGAAAAAAAGAAATCATTAGGGTTTTCATGGAAAAAAATGGGCAAGCAGAGTCTAGCTTCAAAAGCCTCCTTGCAAAGTGTTGATTTAATCATTGAGGAATTAGCACAGATGATAATTGGTTCCTGGATTAAGCCATCATGATATTATTAGACCCTAAAACTGTGCAAGATAATGGTAATATTGCTTTGTGATCTTTAGATACCTATAAGTAATGTTTTCTGAGCACTAAAGAAAGCATAATTACTATTTTCAGGTGGCATTCATAACATGGAATTGAGCAGTTGAAAATCTAGAGCAATGCTGATATTAGCTGACATCATCAGTCACAGGTGGAACAGATGTGAAAGCTGAGCTGGGAGGTTTGAGAATTTGATGCACCCTTCCCAGTATAAAGCACACGTTTTGATGTAGCCTGAATTATTACGAACTTGTCAGGACAGTTGGAGATACCAGGCCTTTGGTCTTTAGGCTTCACACTGTCTCTGAGATATGCTAATATTTTGACAGCATCTCCCTGTCCTGTCACAGTGGATTGCAGAACTGACGCTGAGTGTCAGGAATGTGTTACTGCAAATACCAGAGAATGGCGAGTACAGCAGCAAGCAGCAGCGTGTTCAGTTCAGTGAGGAGGCATTTGTTTAAACTTGCACCGCACAAGTAAAAGAGTACTCAAAACCGATGGAAGAAGGTACACCATGTATCTTAGAAAGATACTGTGTGGGAATTTCAGTAGTAAATGTAGCACAATTAAAAATCTACAGGAGTATATTGAGGCAGCATGAAATTCCAACTGAATAACTCTGTTATTTGTGTTTGTGTTCTTCCTTAGCTGTGTCCTCAGTACTGGCCAGAAAATGGAGTACACCGACACGGCCCCATTCAGGTGGAGTTTGTATCAGCTGATTTAGAAGAAGACATAATCAGCCGGATATTCCGAATTTATAATGCAGCCAGAGTAAGGATGTTACTTGCAAAACCATTCTGTCTTGGTAGATAAGTTGACTTTGCTCAAATCCCAAAAAATGGAAGTTAATCTCGCATAAAACCAGTCTCATTTTTCAGCTTATTTCTTTGAAAGCAATTGTGCAATAGTGAGTCACACCATAATCAATAAGAAAAAAAGCCTTCTATATGTAATTAAAGTAAAAAATATTTGAATGCGTATCTCAAGTGTGTTAAATGCAAATGAAATAAATGCAGCATTCAGATCATATGGTAGCCAAGAAATGTGCAAATCAGCGCTGTTTTCAACAGTTTGAAATTAGTCATCTTGCATTTTTGTATCCTGTGTCATGCAAAGAAAGCTGTGCACCAGCACCAGACATGTTTTTCATTATCAGTCCCAAGCTTTTAGTGAAGATCCTGTCCCACTAATCACACTTCATAATACACGTAGGCACTTCAGAGGGACAAGTACATTCTCACATCTGGCTTTTATGCTCCCATAAACTTGACAGAACACTAAACGAGGCATGTCTTTCAAGCTGAGTGGGAAAAATATTCCCCCACAGACCAGGCATCTCTTCCCATCCAGATGGAAGGATCCTTGGAATGTACTGGTATGGATCTCTGAAGAACCGGAGCTGGGAAGAAGCAGCACTCCCTGTCGGGAAAAGTTGGGAACTGCCCTGAGATCTGGTAGCTCTCAGGACAGTGAAAGGCTCCCAAAAATACCCCAAACCGTGCTAATATCCAAACAGGGAGGCAGATTGTAAGCTTCAAGATACTTAATACTAAAAAGGCTTTGTATTTACAGTAAAAGTGGCAACATAAAAACCCAATCTCCAGCAGCGTTAGTGGGAGCTCTAGCAGGCGCTGGGTCTGGCTGATGCGTTTTGAGAAGAGAGGCGGTCCTGGCTGAAAGAAACTGGCCAGGGAATCAGTAGATTCTAAATTTTGACATAAAGCGGACAAAACCCACTGAAGAACATACCTAATGTTTGCATCCACTTTGGTTTATTTCCTCATCTTGTTAATCTTTCTCTATTACCTCTTACTCTGGAGAAAAAAATTGTAATGCGACGTTCCTGTGTTGCTCATTTTAAAAGTGGCACTAAAATGCCCTTGCTTTGCACAGAAGTGAAAGTGGCAAATCCTAGACTACAAAAACAGTTTTCATGTGTGTACTTATTATGCCCTTTTCAAAGGACTATAATTTTCTGCCACTAACACTTGTTCTATGCTCCTTTTTTATTTTAAATCACCATAAAGCAACTGTTCAGTAACATTTCACCAGAGGGGTTCTGACTGCTGCAGTAGCACACAGTAAAATAAAATGTGGTTAGATTTTTTTATGAGCCGGAAACATCTGAGGGTTTTGTTTGGTTTTTTTAAGTGTTTCCTGCTTCCAAATATCTTGAGAGGTTTTGACCTTTTTTGTAAGAAAAAGCAGAAGCACTCAAACATTTTTCCAAATGCTGAAGCGTATAAAAAAGGTATATAACTGAAGTTGTGTTGCAGCTCCCTTTGTGCTACCAAGTTTCTGTTATTAAATTAATTAATTACTTGCTTGATCCTGCAGCTGTACCATTCCTCTTTTCTAGTCTGTTCATATAGCACTCTGTTTAAAACCTCTTGTTGTAGTAACTCTGTTGGAAATGAAAAGCTGTAACTCCTCAAGGGCAGTTGAAATTACATGAGTAGATTGTCAGCTGTGATCTACTTGAACAGCTTCCCATATCTAAATTCCGTACCCCCAAAAAATGCTCTTATTTCTCCTGCTTGTTGTCCGAATGTCTGCAGCCCCAAGATGGCTACCGGATGGTGCAGCAGTTCCAGTTCCTGGGATGGCCCATGTACAGAGACACTCCAGTTTCTAAACGCTCCTTCTTGAAGCTGATCCGCCAAGTGGAGAAGTGGCAGGAAGAGTATAACGGGGGAGAGGGACGCACAGTTGTGCATTGCTTGTGAGTACTGGAAACAGAAGAGAGAAAGTAAGAGAATGCTGTTGCAGAATTTGTGCCAGCTTTTAAAAGATTTGTGAAGAGGCATCTTTCTAATCTGGAAGCGGATAAATAATACAACTGTTTATTTAAAAGCTTTGTATACAATAAGAATTGTATATTTTTTTAATGTAGATCCATGACTTTCCCTCTCTGTCCCTTGGTAGACCCCTGTGAGAAGATGATGGGTACCAGTTAACTCTGTTTTATATAGAAATGTCCAGTGACTTTTGCAAATGGAGAAGGTGCATATTTGTTCACAATATATAAAAATCTTATCTTCAGAACAATGTAACTTTTATTTCTACAGATAAGGACTGTAGAAATAATTAGTATCAGAGGGGTGATTCCTCTTCCAGACATAAAACGCAGAAATAAAAGTGCTGTGACAGACCAATTACAATGATCCTGTAATTGCTTTATCTTTCTCTAAAAATAGTATATATTTTTGTCCTCCTGTGGACTTTGTGCTCCACTGGTGCAGACTCTCATCCACTCGGCCACCATCCTTCTTGTGATATGGCTTAATACTTGTACGTGCTGTTTGCCCTCAGCAGTAGCTGATCTTTTGAGACCAAGTCTTTAGTGCTTGAAGTTGTATCCCTCTTCCTCTAAACTCCTGTCTAAAGATGCTGCCATGATGGAGAAGGGACAGGCTAAGAGGAAGAGCACACGCTATCACACTTCCAACTGTTGGACCCTGTGTTAGAATGGAGGAAGATCTAAGAGTCTATTAATAATTCCCACTATCACTGACCTTGAACAAGTCATTGCTCTTCAGTTTCCCCATCTGTAGAATGGGGATAATAATACTTTCATCAAAGGAGCATTGTGCAGTGTGATTAATTAATGTTTTGAGATCTTTAGCTGAAAAGACCCTTTTGAAGTGCAAATTACTGTTATCTCTGAGGTGGCTGATGATATTAAATAGTTGTACAACATCACACATGCGTCACTTCCAGGCGGTAAAGAAAGAAAAAGCTCTAATATAATCTTTTTAAATGACTTTATTTTAATTAAAATTCTCAAAGAGTCTCACAATATCAGGCAATGTTTTGGCAGCAGAGAGCATTCTTTTCATACTGCCTGGATGTGACAGATGTGCGATGTTGTATCTTCCTTTGAAAATCAACCATTTATGAAGCTGGTTTGAAAGACCTGCTACCCAACTAGTCTGCACTCCGGTAATTATTAAGGTTTATTATTTTCGGTGAAGCGCAGCCTAAAGATTCTGATTAGAATAGCCGTAGAAATAATAGGGCTTCCAGAAGGAAAGAGATTCTCTTAAAGATTAAAAATAACTAGGGATGAAGTATTATTAAACGCTGTATTTGATCATGCATATGAAGATTTGTGCCTGGCTTCTTTGTTAGCAAGTCACTTCGGGTTCTCATCCTCTGATGCCGTGGGTGGAGGGGGAATAGCTGAACTTTTAGAAGCAGTCGCTGCCAGGCAGCCGGCCCCTCTGCCTGTGGCCGGGGGGTGAGCGCCGGTGCCAGGCTGAGAGCTGAGCCACCAGACGGGCTCCTGCAAATGAGACTTTTAGCGCTTTTGCTGTTCCGTCTGAAATGCCTTTGGGTCCCAGAGGAAAGCACAGGGATTTGGCCTAAAATAACCGAGATCCACTTTCTCTGTAACATTTCCAGGCCTGATGCTCGCTGCAGCGCAAAGGGGTGTTGTACTAAATCTTCAAGTACCTTGTCCTTATTTTAGCATCCTCGCTGTGGTGGAAGTGTTCACGGAAGGGTGGTGCAAAGCTCAGTTCCCTCCAGGCTTTCAGCCTGCTGAATTCTGAATCATAGCTTTGAGATCTTTCAGCCCATTAATTCCAATTAAAAGTCGTTTTCTGCCTAGAGTTCCGCAGCCTTTGGGGGCAGGAATGTTCTGCAGTTTCTCGCTACTGGAACTCGTGCCTCCTGTACCCATCCCTGGTGCTGTCCAAACTTGTAACACAGAGTCAATTGTAACTGAGCCATTTTATCATTTTTATTGTAGGAATGGAGGTGGCCGCAGTGGGACGTTTTGTGCAATCAGTATTGTTTGTGAAATGCTTCGACATCAGAGGGCTGTTGACGTATTCCATGCTGTGAAGACACTGAGGAATAATAAGCCTAACATGGTGGACCTTCTGGTATGAGCTTTTTAACTGCACCACTAAATAGAAAATGTTCTTTTTTCTCAGAAGACTCAGTAAGATTTCCAGGATTTGCAGTGGGAGTTGTTCACAAAGCAAGCAAGTCATTTTCAAAGGGGATAATGAAGTCACTTCACTTATAAGAGTATTTTTACACTGCTTTCTTCCCAAGGAGACGTTGTCTCTGTTCATTTGAATTTTTCAAGAGTTTTAAACTTTCAGCCGAACATCCTTATTAATTTTCTTTTCTAGCAGGCTGAGCCAAGTGGAGAGCAGCCCTTGCATGGCAGAAATAATAGTTATGTAAAATGAAATGCCACATTTTCAAATTATATATTTTATAAATAGCTTAATCGCCTAATATTTATCAAAGCCATGAATTTGAGTTTGACATCCAGAATATTGCATTTAATTATGGTTGCTCTATCTCATAGAAAGATTAAAGAAGTTCAGAAACAAGCGGCCATGTGCAATTATTTTCCTAGAGTGTGTTTTATAAGCTTGCTTTTTTTTTAAATGGAGAATTGCTGAAGTGCCAGCTGCTATGCCACAAGAGCTGCAGAACAGCTTAAACCAGCAGGTTCTTATGCTCCAGTGTGTAGTTCTGTACTTGGAGGTGGGTGTAGCGTGACGCCCCGTTCTGAAGCCTGGGCTGTAAGTGACACTTTTTCAACATCCTGATGTAGAGGTGGCTGCTTAAGGGGGCAGCTGTATTCAGTTTAGCATATAGGCAGGAGGCAGCAGCATCTGGGTCGCTTCAGAGATGCTAAAGTAATTTGAGCTAGTTTTGCAAGCTCTGGTTAAACAAGTTTGGGTCATGTTTCAATGCCTTTTCTACAGAGTGCCCAGGATGAGGCAGGAGGCATCTCACAGAGCTGGTCCAGCCTCTTGTGATTTTAGGAGACATCCCTGTCTCACAGATCTGGGTGTGAGACACACTGCAGAATGTGCAGAAAGCAGGAATTTCCATTGGGAGGCTCTCAGGCCACATGGGAGATGGACAAGGTCATCCAGTTCCCCAGCACATGCATCTCTGTGCCTCTTCCATTCCGCAGAACATCATCTCCCACCACATCCTCCATTGCAGTCCTCTCCTCTACCCTGCGTGTGAAATCCCAGATCTTCCTCTAGGCCCTGCTCTTTCCAGACTCTTGGAAAAAAGCCAGATATTGCCAGCTGTGCAGAGCAAGAAAGGAGTTTACAAGCAGCACCACAAGGCCATAAGCCAGCAATGCAGAACTATGAATCTTGTATCAGTGAGAACATATCAAGCTTTCGCAGTGGTGGGAGGGAGCAGCTTAGTTGGCTCCTCTTTCTCTAGTTTATATTCTCAGGAGGAGAATCATCATGCTGAGAACCATACATTTTTATTTCCTAGATATTAAGAAAAACGCCCTACTTCTTCATTCAGATGGTATAGTTTGGATAGAGACTTGGCAGGCCTGCTGTTCTCCGTTCTCCCAGAGTTTAAGTCCACAGAATTCACTGATCTTTTATTCATTTATTTTATAGAAATAAAAAGAAAATTACCAATGTGAAGATATGTAGTTGGAGAAAATGCTCTCTATAAATTCCCACTTGTGACAGTTCTCCAGGTATAGAATTTTTAGGCAGCTGTCTCCATTTTTCAGCAGAGATATTTTTTTTAATCAAAAACTAAAGGTATTATTTCAGAATATAAAAATAGCTTTTAGTAAATTGAGGATGGTATTGAGAATTTCTGGATGGCGTTGAGAGGCCTTGTAAGGCCTTTTCATTAGGAGATTTCAAAGCACTTGTGAAGGAGGTCAGTATTGTTTTCTTTATTTTACAGACAGAACAATGAAGGCAAGGGACAATCAGGGTTTTTCCTATTATTACAAAATTCACTGACAAAGCAGAGTTAGAACCATATCTCTTCAGTCTTGGTCTGCTACTTTCTAGGAACAAATATTTGAGTTAGCAAGGTTTCAATATGCATGTAGATTGTGCATGGTAAAAGGGAATTGGGGCACTTCAGTTCTTTTCCTGATCTTGCTACTGACTTTATCCTTTACGACCTTTCTTATCTTATGTGCCTTTTCCTCAGTTTCCATATCCGAAAAAATGAGGACAATAATATTCATCTGCCTTTGTGAAATTCTATGGTAAAAGATTAAATGCCAGAATTATAACAGTATTTCACAAAAATAGTTTCAAAACTCTTTTATCAATACCTGTTATGCACTTTCTGACTAGATGAAGGGCATTTTTTCCGATCCATACTTAGCAATTCATCTTTTAATTTCATTGAAATCTTTGGTTTTCCTGCAAGTGTTAAAATCGAATGCCACATCATAGAAACATAGAATGTTTGGGATTGGATCTATATAGTACGGAAATCTATTAAATTCTTCAGCCATCATGCAGAGGTAATACATGGTATTAAAAAATGTTCATTACAGAATGGCCAAAGCATTTTGTGATAAATATTATTGGACCTACCAATAGGTGTGCTAGGAAAAAATGAGTACTCCTCTCTGAATCTAGCTAACGTAAAGAGACTCTTAATATCCACCATCGAGTGAATAATAAAAATGTACAAAGAACACACATGAGTGAACACAGTGGGAAATAATATATGTCTGCTCTTTAAGGCAGGTATTCAGTTTACTATAAATGACAGTTATTCCGCTGGATCGGTAAATCAGCATAAAATGAGGATGGAAAAGTGGAAATGGATGAGTGGCTGATCTCTTGTTTTGATCTGTTATGTAGTTAGAGAATAATTTTCATTTATTTAGGAACATATGCAATAAAAGCAGAAAAGGAATAATTTACATAACACTTTCCTTCCCTTCTTTTTTATTCTTTCGTCATTCTGAAGAAGATACAAGCAGTGTACGGAACCCCGCAATATCTTAAAGCCTTGCACACAACTCATTTATAGTTTAAGTGATATATGCACACAAGAATTGTTTTCTTTGAAGTGACAGCTCTCAACAAAAGAACTTAGAAATGGTCTGTGCTTGTTAATGGCTTTTCGATTGTTAACGTGATGTTAAGGTGGACTCTCTTCTCAGATAAAACGTGACCCAAAATCACAAATGCAGGCCAAAATAGTTAATCCTGTAAAATATTTGCTGCAAGGAAAAGGAGAATGTGTGTACAATGAAGTGTAATTGTAATCTTCCTACTTGTGATGTTGGGAAGGTGAAGGCTGAGTCCTGTCAGGCAGTTAAGTCTGCTGTTGTTCCTGTACGAGACCACATGCTTAGTTACCTTTTACTAATTGATTGAAGTGCATAAAAGGGATTTCAGTGGCAGAAATAGTTGTAAAACTGGCAGATATTTCCAAACTGAATTTTTAGAAGCCAGAGCCCTTGGATTAAGGGAACCCACACCCACTATTTCTTTCAGCTTTTTTGTTCCATTTCAGTGTTTATAGTATTGATAAATATTGCGAGTAGCAAGAATGAAAACAGAGGGTGGAGACATGTGTGCACACAAAACTCTGAAGTCATCAGGGACTGCATCATTTAAAGTTGCAGAGCAGGTGAGGGTCAGGCAACAGCTGAAGCCGTGAAGGGGGCGAAGTCAGGACCCTTTGTCCCTGAGGGGTGCAGCCAGGGTTTGTGTGCCAGGGGAAGCGGATTTCCCCAGCAGCTGCAAATAAAAGCAGCAGGCTTGTGTTTGAAGCGCAGCGTTGGCTCCTGGCACCTCGCAGACGCATCACCATTAATTGCTTAATGTTAATTTGAACGACTCCAGTTAACGTAGCTCAAGCCTGATCTCGGAGGCCTGTTGCACTGGGAGAGGATAGCATTTCGGGCTGGGTTTGGGCTGCACGTAGAGAAGGAACAGCGAACAGCTCTCGCCCTGAGATGTAGCAAGTGTATGAATGGCACTGAAATCAAAGTTACATGCTGTGAATTAATAGACACTGGCTCTATTTTAAGATAAACATTTCCAGGGAGGAATTCAAATAACTCCCAATTCTGGTAAAGTGCTACATGAGCATCTTGACAGAGGACAGAAGGGTTGCAAGTCAATTCGCTTACGTGTAGTCAGTTTTTCTCATACAAGTGCATTAGAGCAGCTAAATACACATCTGGTATGAGCAGTACCATAAGTTACTGTGTGTAGTGTCTATTGTCTGGTTAATATAAAGATTTTCTTGTCTGAATATAAATTGGATTTGCAAACTGGTTCCCATTGACAACAGCTGATTGTAAATAATTTCAACAGAAGAGAAATACTGATTCCCTTAAGTTCTTTCGATAACTGAATTTGTGGTACTCTTTCGATTTTTCAGGATCAATACAAATTCTGCTATGAAGTAGCTTTGGAATACTTGAATTCTGGCTGATTGCATAAACAGCACAAAGTTCCTCCTTTCAGCACCACAAACAAAGCAAGTCACTTCATGATATCTGTGTAAGCGAGATGAAGACTTCTCAGTGTTATGCTTCTACTGCTTTGTATAATTGGCTCTTTGTAAGAGCCCGATAAGATGTTTATAAAACTGCTTGCACTGCCCGTTTTCCACTATAATGCCGCTGCTTGACACCCATATGAACATACACCAAACCACGTGGCAGTTGTTGAACACTGTATTCATATGTAGCCATCGATGTGGTGAAGCAGCATAGTCCTCTGGTAAATAAAAGAGAGCACAACTATATTCTTATGAAGGAATTTGTACTTTTCTGTTATATTTCGTTGCCTGTGATTCTCAATTTTTGTCACAGCCTAGTGTACATTTCTGTTCTGTGGAGAATGCTGTCTGGCATTTTGATAATATATGATTTTAGTTATATTTGTATTCTAACACGTGCATAATAAATGAGTCCTATGTAGCTTATCTGAACTAATGGAAAGACATACCAAATCATGTTAACTTTGTTGAGTTGTAATTTCTATCCACTTTGTACCATTTCAGAGACAGAATCTTGACAGAAGTAAAGTTAGAAAAGGTAAAATACAGGATACTCAGATTAATATATCCAAAGCTTTTTCATTTGTTTATATTGTAAATACTTTTTTGATTTCATCAAATTATTTATTCATTAAAATGAATTTTTTTGTGAAGCACAGTGAGTGACAATCATTTTTTTTAAGCCCTGGAAATGCTTACTGTATGATAGTGTAAACATTTGTTTACCTTGTATGGATTCACAGCTCAATAAATAATTACATACATGATAAAATCTTGTTTAATGTCTCTTGGCATCTGAGTGCCTTCGACTAAGCTTCTTTCCAGATTAATTCTTGTAAATACCAAGCTACCTCCAGAGCATGTTTATTGTGTGATCCAGTGTTGATCCAGCCAATTGCAAGACGTGCCATGCCAGTATATAAAAACAAGAGGTGAACTGTATGCTCAGAGATGCACAGGCTCAAATGCAGAACCTGAAAATTGCCCTGCTTTATGAGGAAGAGGTGATGTTGGGCTCATAGCGCCCAGCAACGCTCTGGAGCCCTGAGCAAACCCCAACATTTGTGCGGTGCCTGTTGCTACAAAAGGAGTGATGGTGCTTTTGTTCTTGGGAAGAATGACTGCTGTGAGGGGGAAGTAATTCCTCCTGTTAAAGGTACCAATGCAAGAGCAACTGTGGGGGTTAAAAAGCGTGTAAAACTGCTGTTTACCAGTACTGCTGGTAGACAGGTTTACACCATTAAAGCTCTTGCCCATCCTGAGAAGGGCTGTACTGCACTTCTGTGGTGCTTCCTCTTTCTCCCAAGCACTCACCAGCATCTGGGCAGGCTGAGACTTGCCTCATGTTTTGGGATGCAGGAAGCAACAAAGCAGGAAGAAATGAGAACAAGCCCACAGCGGCTTGCTGCACCATGCACTGGAACTGCAGAACCTTCCCTCGCACGTAAGTGTCAAAGAGACTTTGCAAACTGAGGACTTCCAAAGCTGTGTGGGTAAGCCAATGCAAGGAAGTGGCAGACTGCACAATATTCCAGCTCTTTAAAAAGATGGTTTTAATGTCCTAGCCATCTGGAACGGGGGTAGCCTCTATATAAATGTATCAGTCACAATGTTTAGAGAACCTCTAAATCCGAGAGATCCAGCTTGGACACAACGACTCACAGCTTGTCAACTGCCTATTCAAAAACACTGCAAACTTCAGATCTGAAGCCACGGGGACAGTCTTCCTCTGCATCCAGAAAGCCTCTGTTTTAAAATTGTTTTAAAATGTATCAGCCATTGCTATAAAATGCACAGTGGTATGGAAGAACTTAGGAGAAATAATCCCTGAGAAGAATGATGGTCCTTGGATAAAACCTGTAGCTCTCCAGCCTATTGTAGAATATGATCTGATTCATTTGGAAACCCAATTGTTAGGGAACAAAATCTAAACTTCTAATATCATATTCCTCACAATCAGCTTGACAGACTAAGTATACTAGCCAAGCATGCTTCTTTGTAATAATTGTGGGACACTGAAAAGCTGGGCTCCACGATCTATTTACTAAAACTTTCATATACACGTCCAGTATTTTGTGATGCTTTCAAGAGATGTGTAAGCATGCTGAAGGAACCCTAGGACACAAAGTGACACTGGCAACATGATCCCAAATGTGAAAAAAATTTACTGATGGAATCATAGCAATCTCTCTCAAGGACAGAGACAGTGTCTGCCAGACATTTCAGCTGCTGTACTCTTGCAAATATAATTTGCTCAGGTGGGGAAGGAGACAGGAGAGTTCTGTAGTGTTTCTTATTGTTCTACAGATACTACTTTTTTGCCGTGTTAGAGTCTGTGTGATGTTGTCCCAAAAGGCATTCTGTGAGCTACGATGCCTTAAAACTGGAGGAAGATAAAGAAAGCGCAGCAAGCAGCTTTGTGTCCTCACTCCCATGCTACAGCTATCAATCAATGTAAATGATAAATAAATTCTGGCTTAGGTAAAACAATATTCTAGCAAGAAGAAAAAACAGATGAGGACTTCAGGAGTGTAGGAATAGAGAAAACGCAAGGCAGCAGAAAGGAGCAGAAAGAAGAGATGAACATGGGAGGCATGAAACTTCTATGAAAGTTACCTGGAGGGTGGCATTTTAGAGAAGACAGAAAGACAGACAAAGAAAACAGCAATGACAGCCATTTTAAGTGATCATAAACCAAATTCTGTTTTCAGAAGAAAGTTACACAATTACAATCCTGGTACAACTTATCAAAGTTTAAGGCTAGGGTGATGACCACACTTTGACAGATGCTCTCTGTGATCCCCACCACTACCATCCCAGGTAAGGATTTTTTAGACTTTGAGGTTGAAAAAAAAATTTGAAGCAGTTTAATGAAAAAAAAACAACAAACCAATATTAAGAGTGAATATGTCAGTTTATATACATATATATACACACAAGTATGCAAATAAGCTCAACAATACAAGAGAATATGTTAATACTGAACCCACACCTTCCAGCTGACAATTTTGTCCCAAGCCAAAAAAAAAAAGTCCCAGACTGGACTGGGCAGCAGATGGGAGCACCTGAGCCCACAGTCCCAATGAATGTCCAAAAACACCAACAGAGAAAGAGCTGTGCAGTTCCCACCTGGGCTAGTATGCAGGGAAAGACAACCTGTCCCATCGAAGGGTGCTCCTCTGCAGCAGGGAATTAGGAGGCAAGAAGCACCAGCAGCATGGGGAGAAATAATGACCAGCTGATATCAATCCTCCCAGCACAGCAGCACTAAAAGCCCCAGGGCTCTCCTTAGCGGCCCTTTTATACTGAGCACCATGGGAAGGAACACTGTGATTGGTCCATTTGGGTCACCTGACCCATCCTCTCCTCCTCATAGGCACAGCTGCTCCCCTCTCCCAGTGCTGGGAGCCCCAGAAAATTTTAATCCTGGTGCTCTCAAACTAGGATGCAGCTGCAGTGGAGACCTCAGTCCTAGATTAGGAGGAACAGAGGAAGGGATGTTTTCCTGAATCCCCAGGGTATGAGCTATATTAATGAACGAAGAGATATGTTGAATGCTAAGCCATATATATTGCCCAACTCATCATTTCTCTGGGGCTTTAGGTAGACGATTTTTGCTGAACTATTGTGAAAGAGCAGGCATGGTGATGGTAAGAGACATGACTGCATCTAGGTAATCTGTATCTTTTTAACAGCAATGCTCATGACAGCTTCCTGGGGTTTTTATCAGCAAAATGAGTCTGTCACTGGCAGGGTAGCTTCACAGGAGTGCTAACCCAAAGTTTAAGGACTATGTACATACAGTACAAATTAAAAAGCGTAGAAAAACTTCCTACCTAGCTCTACCTAGCTTTTTGTGGCTCAAAAGCATCTCTGTGCCACAAAAGGTTGATCTGAAGATGCTATGCAGCATCAAGACCACCTTGACTTTGGATTTCTCCTTCAGCTGGTTAGGGCTCATCATTCATATCTCTGAAATATTTACTTCTCATTTCACTGTATGTGGGTGTCTCCCCAGGTCTAACTGCTTACTGTGTATGCCCCTTCTCGGTCAACGCCAGCCCTTTAATAATGTAGCAATGACACAAATAGATTTTTCTTCTTTGAGGTGTGGCAGTGAAGATAAATTGACACTTTCAGCAGCAGCTATTCCAGGCAGCTTTCTTTAGGGAAGCCTGGAAAGGCTGTAATGGTAGCAGCAAACCTAAAGACCCTTGGAATTACTCACTCTGAAACACGGAGGATCACCCATCGAGTCTCCTTTTCCTTGTGGTGGTTTTGTGTCTACCCCCTCAAATCAAGGATGGCTAAATGAAGGTAAATTATTTTAAAGTTTATTCAAGGTTTTACAGCCTCGTTAGTTTTCTGATTCAAAGGTAATTTGGTTGTTCTGCCTCCCAGAGTACCTTCTCCAAGCAGCTGTGCATTTTTCTCCAGAAATAGTCAGGCATCTGGGCAGATCACTCTAACGGAATGATTCATCATACCATTTTACATTTATTGTTGGCTTTACGTTTATTTTGTCAACTTGGAAGACATGGACTACAAAAATCTCATGTAGACCATATCTAGTGCCAGACACTCGGCTTCTATTAAAAGAAAAATTAATTTAGGAATAGAGGGAAAACATACAGCTTGGTTCTGTTGTAAGTTGCTTGTTAAGGAAGCCACTGGACACTGCCATTTTTGTGGCAGAGCACCAGGAAAACTCAGCAGACCCAGAAACAATATTGTTTCTGTTGGAGCTTATTTGCTTGGGCTTTTTTCATAGCCTAGACCTTGTCTATACGGTGAAGTTATAAGCTGATGGGTGCATTTGCATTTCCTCAACCATTCACGTGCTCTGCCTTTGGGAGCTTTCCATACGCCACTGGCACGGGGTGGCTGGCTCACTGCTCAGCTGCCAGCACTCACCCCTCAGCATCCCAGCCCACTTTAATGAAGAAATCTTTCCAGAGCCTTGTCGACCCTTTGCAAACTGCAATGAACAGCAACAGCAAAATGCCTTCCTCACCCCTGCTGGGTATTTCCAAGCAGACTCTTCTGTGGAAGCCTGAAAAGGCAGCTCTTGTGCTGGTTAATTCCCCAGACCCACCTGACCTCCTGCTCTAAGCCTGAAAGCCAACGCCTGCCACCCCCACCTCCTCCAGTCCCTCTCTCCAGCTCCTCACCCACCTTTAGGGCAAGGCTATCACGTATCCCTGGCCCAAGTGTGGCCGGGCAGGACAGGAGGGCTGTGGTGCTATGCTGCTTCGAGGTCTGTATCTTCCATCAGAGCCCCCATGGGCCCTCCTGGATGATGCATTTCCCACCGGTGCCACGGTCCTGCCTCTCACCCCAGGATCATCTATAACCTGCCCCAGGAGCCTGCAGCCCACTTCCCTCCCAGTGCTGTCACCAAAGCATGTGATACTCTTTCTGAGAAATATGACTTGAGAGATGTGAGGCTAGAAGAGGTTAGGGTCTATAAACACCCTGCCATGATTTTTTTTTAATATTGTTAATGGTACTCGATGCACAAAAGCACAGAAAATGTGGGCTTTGACAATGAAGAGTGAGCGCAATGCTTGCTGTAGCTTGTCTAAGGGAATGTGTCAGGGGAGATTAATATCTCATGTTCACTGACGGTCTTTCCAAGCAATGGTATTTTTACTCCTGAAACTCTTCTATTGATGTGTTTTCAGTAGCAGCCAGAAGACTTTTAATTGTGTCTCTATAGTTGTGGTATTTCTAGTAATTGGGTTTTTTGTGAAGACGTGCTCAGGGCCCGCA